GATCCGATTTGGATAAAATTTAGCACAGGTTATCTATTTGGCCCAAGAACGAACCCTATAGAAATTGAGAAAAAAAATCGGTTTAGATTTAGATATAGTTCCCATAGAGTAACTTCGGGTAATGTGGACCACCATTTTCTTTTTTGATATTGTGGGCGTAACAACGGTAAAAAAATAAAAACAATTTTTTTTTCACAACATAGTAGATTTGTCGGCTAAATATATATCAGGTCAAACATTATATATATTTGTCTAAAAAAAATTTATGGCATTATATTTCAAAAAACTCTAAACTGCGAATAAAAATAGCTTGGCGGGAAATGTGGACCAGTATGTGTGGGTAATGAGGATCAGTAAGTTAAAGGTAGGTTGTGGATTGGTTGTGATAAATTTACATTTATTGCACTCTTGGATAACAATGAATGTAAAAATATATGGGTTAATGTTTTAGAATAGCCCCCATTTAAGGATACCGACCCATTTGCGGTATTTTGAAGGTCCTGGCACTTGTAATTTCGCATATCAAGTTTTCAGAGGATAGAATACCTACTCGCATATTAAATGCGCCCATGTTTCGAACTCCTCCTCATGAAAAAGTCCCACTTTTTTATAGTGGTCCACATTACCCGACATGGAATATTTTTATTAAAAAATAATTGTCGGCTTCAAAAATGAATAAAAATTATTTTTATTTTTTTAATTTTTTTGTCAAAGAAAACAAGAAAACCACATAACTCTTTATATTCGAGAAAAATCAAGTGTTCGACTATTTTGCAAAAACGTTCGACTATTGTGCTAAAAATTTTTAAATCAGACTTTTACAATCATAGCTACATTTTCTACTACTAAATTTTGAATATTGCGCATGGGCGCATTTATCTTTCGATTTGCAAGAATTTTGGCAAAGCGTATTGAATTGTGTCTAGAAAATCGGTTCAGATGTTGATATAGATTCCATATATATTTTCTTCAGATTTTATGTTAATGATGCACGAAAGCCCTTTCTTTCGATTTGCACGAATTTTAGAATAGCGTACTGATCTAAGTCTGGAATTATGTGTACTGATTTTTGTGAAAATCGGTTCAGTAGTTGTTTCCCAGCGTTCCAATAAATATAGCAATTAAGACGATCGCCGAAAAATGGAATATACTGAAGAACTATACCAGGATACCGAAAGATTTATTTATTGAAATACTGACTCTTTGTATAAAAGATATTTTATAATTCAAGACAAGGTGTACGAACAACGCAAAGGACTTCCAATAGGTGCACCAGCGTCACTGATCATAGCTGACGTAATAATGGAGGAATTATTGGACACTTCTATAGAAATGATGAGGATGAAACCAAGGTTATTAACAAAGTACGTGGACGATATTTTTTGTATAGTAAAGAAAAAGGAAGTGGAAAACACACTAAGGATTTTGAATTCATTCGACAAAAACATACAATTTACGCACGAAGTAGAGAAAAATGACAAGCTCCCATCTACAATAATAATCAGACAAGACAATAACCTTAAACTAGATTGGTACCAAAAACCAACAGCATCCGGAAGACTGATAAATTGTCATTGAAATCATCCCCGTAGAGTGAAAATAAACACGGCAACGAATTTTATATATAGAGTGTTCAATATAAGTGACCAACAATTCCATCACAACAACGAAATAAAAATACGACGCATATTAAAAAAGAACAATTTTCAACAAAAAACAATCGACGACCTATTAAAACATGCAAAGCAGAATAATAACGTGAGAATTAGAGACGAAAATGAAAAATGTTATAAATCTTTGACATACATCCCTGGATTTTCGGAGAGATTTGACATATCCAACTTTTACAATAAGGACAAATACCAATTAGCTTTAAAAATCATCAACTGTAAATGTCAACAATATGTTCAGCAAAACTAAAACGAAGACTAACAAGTGAAAAAGCGTTAAGTTCGGCCGGGCCGAACTTTGGATACCCTCCACCATAGATATACTGACAGGTACTAGAAATGAAAATATAGGGAACATACCAAAAAGTGGACCTATACCAACATTTCTAAAAACGGATTGTGTATACCTTAATACAGATTGCAGAAAATTATTAAAAATTTATTTATAATAGATAATTATACCCTCAGCATTATGGCTAATGAGGGTGTATACACTTTAACACGGTGAAAATGTGTCTGAATGTGGTTCCAGACCCCATGTTTCTTTAGACCAAATCCGTTTCAGAAAATTTAGATTTCATCCAAACTTTGTCCATCTTATTATTTCTCCAAACTTAGTTCAAATTCGAAGAAGGGGAAAATCGGTCCACTCCTTCTGGAAGCTCCACACAGAGACTAGGTACAAAATACCAAATTGCAGCAAATTCGATTGAAAAATGCGCTCAAGGGGCTATCCGAAAAAATTGACCTATACTTATAATTTTTTGTTGAGAGATTTGCTACGCAATAAGAACTTAAAGTACCAAATTTCAGCGAATTCGGTTGAAAAACGCGCTCAAGGACCCCAAAATACCGAAAATTGGGGGTACCCTTATATGGGGGCTACCCGAAAAAATTGACCTATATTTATAATTTGTAGTATAGAGATGTTCTAACCAATAATAACTCAAAGTACCGAACTTCAGCGAATTTGGTCGAAAAATGAGATAAAACCCCCCAAAATACCGCAAAATTAGGGGTACCCTTATATGGGAGCTATGACTAAAAGTGGACCGATAAAGGCCATCATCGAACTTGACCTGCCTGCAGACAAAAGACGACTCTATGCAAAATTTTGACGATCTATCTCAATTCGTTTAGACGCTAGAGTGATTACAACAGACAGACGGACATGGCTATATCGTCATAGAATTTTACGCTGATCAAGAATATATATACTTTATAGGGTCGGAAATGATTATTTCGATGAGTTACAAACGGAAAAACAAAATTAATATACCCTCCATACTATGGTGGAGGGTATAAAAAAGAAGATAAGTGCAATGTAGTTTATAGGATGCATGTAACGGTGACGAATCTGATGTATCAATTTGTAATCAATTGTTTATTTTGTAACAGATCCCTGAATATGATTGTCGATGACAATCGAAATATTGGAAGAATAATAAACTAATAAAACATAAACAATTTTTTTTCATTGACCTTTAGCCGAAACATCATCAAAAACATTAATTATTTTTATTTTCACCTTATTTACCTTAGTACTTAGTACTATTACTTTGAATAGCCGCTTAACGCTGTTTTTTTTTGGCACGGAGTCTACAACGATGATTTACAACGTTTAATTATTACCCGGAATATTCAATTCATCAGTAAAAGAGAGAAACAACTAATGTTGTAATTAACGGGAGCAAAAAGAACTGGGAAAACAATACGAAAATAGAACGACGGGGCAAAAAGAACTAGTTGAAAGAGAGCAGAAGGAGCGACTGGAGCAAAAGGAACTAAGAGAACGAAAGATCATGACCTATAGTTCCTCATTTGGAATAATTCCTTTGGACTATTTTAAATGGTGGCCGTATTTCATGGCAAGGAAAAAATCCCCATGCCAATATATTCCCACCACAATGTTTAATAGTTTTTTTGTATATTGTGGAAGAAGTTCGGTGGTCGGTGGTCTTCTTACATTCAGAGTTAAATAACTTGACTTTAGTTTCGTTTGACCATAAAATCTTCCTCCACTTTTGCTCTTGTAAAAATTTTAATCTATTTTTAGGAACAGTTTATATAAAAGTGGAACTAATCGACCACTTTTGACTTTTAAATTATATCTTAAAGAGGTTGCAAATGTATCATTCTTTCTATGGCGAACAATTTGTCTTTCTATGAGGAGTGTGTTCTGTGATTTTTTCTTCTAGTTTAAGCTAAATACTAGTAATTTGCTGTATTTTGGACCATTTTATATGAGCAGCCAATTTGTCTGTAGCTTTTACTTTCATAATAAAGTTTCCTTTTAAAAATCCCAGACTTCAGGACTGCAGTGATTGTCTCTTCCCATTTTCAGTTCTAATATTTGATTGTCTTATTGATAAATTCGATATTATTATTCAAAATTAATGAGACTAACCTTTAATAAAAACTGAAAATTCTATTACGTTTTCCAAGTTAATCTATTTTAGTGAACATGTGTTCTCCCAACAAAATCAATATTTACACTATTTTTAAGAAGACAGACGCTTGCAAATTTTTAACTCTTACGGGGTTATATTCTTAACTATAAGAGATTTAGAACTGGTGAACTTTTTGGAGAGCGGGTGAATCTAGAGACTTCGTTACCTGAGTTTGTATACAAAAATATCCGTGAAATATGTATATATCGTTTCCAAATCAATCCTCTTCACTTTAAGGAAACCAGCAAAAAACTACACATTTGAAAATGTCAATGAAAAAATATGATCACTGAACTTAAATAAACTTATGAAAAACACATGTTTGCGCATGTCAAGATAAGATACTTGGCCAAATTGTGGTATTTCGGTATTTTCTTAATGCCTACCTAAAAATAAAACCTTTAAAAGATTATGCATTTTTTTTTATTTTACCAACTCTTAAGCTTGTTGACTTGTAGTTTGTTTTTATCTCAAAATTATGTCTCCCTCTAAACGATATGCAAGAAAAGCAAGCATGTTTAGCACACACGTTGATGTTAACACTTCAGCGTTTAGATGTCGTGTGCATCAGACCCCTGGCCCCAAAATTTGCTGAAAACAAAACGAACTCCCTACCCAGAAATGAAACTAGTAAGGCAAGGCAGAAGCTAACAGCAAATATAAACCGCAATAACAACAAAGCGATGATCATCAGACAGACACACAAACAAACAATTAAACCCACCAAGTATTGCAGGTTTAGCTTTAGTATGCGCATGCGCACGCGTTCCACAATGGCAACTTACACCACTCTCTCTGCCAACTGCAGCAGCAAAAAGTTTAGCTACGCTGCTGTTATTCTTCAAAAAGAAAGAGCGGCTAACGTTCCACCAATAGTTCCAGCCCAGCCAGCGTTCAGTTAAGACGTCGTCTATATAAACTGATACGCCATACAAGTTTCTCCAGTGTAGTGTGGATTACTTTTAAGGACATAACACCTCAAAACCGAACAAACAGAGAAAAAATGAAGCAATTCGTTGTGTGTACCATTGTGGCAGCTTTGTGCGTTGCATCTGCAAGTGAGTGTTACAAAATTTTGTATAACTTTTTTTTGTTTTGCTGTGTGTTGTTAAGAAAAAAAAATTAAGAAAAAAAGAAATAATTGAGAAACAAATTGTAAACAAAATATGGCTGAACCACAAAAATATATATAAACGAATCAAGTTATTTATATTTGGTTTGAAAATATGTGGATGCGGAAAGTGCCAAACAAAGTTATGAAAAACATTTTTTTGAGGAAGAAGACAATTTAATAGAAAAAAATATTAAAAGTTGTTCATTGTGAGAAGTGAAAAGGGGTCGAAGAGTCATTATATTTTACCGGAAAATACCCTCTTTTTGTTTTCAATTTCTTTCTATCGCTCTCTGGCTTAAATTTCATATAAAAAGTAAATGTAATATCCCATTTGTGAAAAGTGCTGCATAGTTTGAAGTATTACTGATAGTAATTTTTGGCGAAATATATATGAAAACTTCATGAATATTGAACTGAAAAATATGCTCTTCGTCTAAAAATTAAAGAAAAATCCTGTTACTCCTCTTGGGAGCATAAAACTTTCACAGAGCATCTCCATTTTACTCGATTAGACCTTCATTTTTTATTATTACAGCTACGTAGATGATGGCCTGTCCTAGGTGATTGGGATGCCATCTATTATTGCCTAGAAAAGAAGCCTCCTAATCAAGTGCTGCGATTTTTCTCTAGGTGGCACAATGTCACGTCATTCCCATTTTTGTGTTATCCTCATGTGTTTAGGCTGAGATTGTTTATTAGGATGGCAGGTGGCTTCGGATGTATTTCATTTTGAGGGGATATAAGACCCTTTTTACAAATATTCGAAAATAAATTTAAAAAAATCCTCCTCAGCTAGGATTTGAACCCGATACTCATTGGTTTATAGTCTGGCACAAAATACCCTGCATTACGCCAATTCAAAAACAAAGCTATTGGGAATATATTTGGAACTGTTTTCTCAAAATCTATTAATAAGGTTATCCGGCTAGCCTGTCCTAGGTAATGGGGCTGCCATCTATTATTGCCTATAAAAATGCTCCTATCTACTGTTGCCATTTCCTCTTGGTGGCACTATGTCCCATCGTTCCTATTTTTGTGTTATCCTCATGTGTTTATGCTGAGGTTGTTTCCGATGTAGTTCATCTTGAGGATGTGTTTTTTTAAATATTCGAAAACCACTCCTCTGCTGGGATCTGAACCCGAAACTCATAAATTAGAAATCCAAAAATATTTGTCTAGAAAAAGTGCTTTGAAATATTAAAATATATTTAAAGTTCGAATTTCGGATTCTCGCAAGTTAAAGATTTTCAAAGCTGAATATTTCTCAATTTTAGGTATTTTTAATGCTAAAGCTCAAGGCGAGTTTGGAATTTTGTTTCTAGTCAAACGAATCTATTCACAAAGTTAATAAATCAAAAATTCTCTTCCTGAAATTTCCAAAATTATTTTGATACTGTTTTCCGAAGCTCTTTGTCAAAACGTCTTCAGTAATTATTTATGCATTCCTTAATTTCCCATGAACTTCAACTCTTCTTTAGATATTCCGGACCACTTTTTCCTTACAGTGTTGGTTTTTTTTTTTTGTAAAGATTTCTGCAATGTTGCCTGTTATATCTTAAGGACCGTTTAGACTTAGGTTTTATCGCAATAATGTACATTACCGAGATCCTATGCTAAATCGAGATAATTTCAAATACAACCCTAAAAATAAATGCAGAACTTCTCCCAAAAAGTACAAAAATGGCAAAGCTTATGTTAAAATTTTAATTATTTTGCTTCGTGGTCTAGTTAGCCATTCTTAAATTCAACATCCAAAAATGTCCAGTTTATAATCTGAAATAGCCACACAATCAACTACATTACATTACAATCGAAAATTTAGATTCCCCTCAATTCAATGCTTTGTCGTTTTGATGGTTTAAAAGCTTTCAAAATGATGAGTATTGATTTCTATGGGAATTTATCAAAGCGTGGCTTTATTCAGACCGCATCATATCTATTTAATTTTGTTATAATTTAACGCCTAAAACACGTGTTTTATGAAAATACGTCATCTATCATGAAATTGATACTTTAAATGGCATGTTTTATTAAAACCGGTTTCATAGAAACAAAACCTTAAATTTTATAGCTGCCTGATTGTTTAAATTTTTGACGATATAGCTGCTTAATTCTTTGCGAATTCTTGTCGATTTTAATTTAAAACCCCCCGGCTAAAGTCTACTGACGTCTTTGAATTTGCAAAAATATAAATATTTTGCTACCATTTAGATGACAGCTGATCAACCAATTATCATAAATTTGAGACTGCATTCACAATACTAACAAAAATTTTCCATAACTAATTAACGAAACTGAAAGTTTATAGTCTTTTGAATTAATTTAATGTTACCGTCCCATTCAAAAAAGCCGGTCGGATGTTGTTTGACCGGTCATTTTATGATAATTCCCATAGAAAACATTTCGCAATATTTGAACTTGAATTTCGTTGGCTTCTTCGTGTTTGTATATTTTAACATTTATTAATAAAATTAAAATAAATAAATAAAATATGCTAAACATATTGGCATTGACACCAAAAATCAACCAAGCAAACAATTTTGCCAGACATTCACCTAGGCGGACACGAGAGAGAGAAAAATATATAAACAAACTATACACAATTTCATAACCTGAACTTCAAGTCATGGCAAAAAAGAAAAAAAACTTCCCCAACACATTAAAAGTCATTAAATTTAATGCAGATATATACAATAACAAGACAATATTTCCAGTCATAATTTATTTAGCTTTCTGGAAAAAAGCAGAGATAAAATGTTAAACTGGTATTTTAAGTTTCAAACTCAGACATTATGGAGGCTGCTCTATTTGTATGTGCAGTTGTAATGTCAATTACCTTCACTCCTAAGGGTTAATCAATGACATGAAATAGTTTTGAAATTGCGTGCAATTACCTTGCAGCATTGTACTGCACTGCACCGCCGCACCCTTTAAATGTCAAACATTACAAAGTGTTGTCATGCCATTCACAACTAAACCATCGAAAAGTAAAAGTATTATGAGTAGTTGTCTGGTTTCAGGCAATTTGTTATTGGTTTTCTCTGGAAATCCAGAAATGCCACAGTTCAAATATCTATTTACTTTTAATGTTAAATTAACATTTAAACTGGTTCCAAAGCCGATGCTGTTGACGTAGACATTTCGCATGAATTCTTTGGTTGGCAGGCATAGAAAAATTGTCTTCTTGTTAATAACTTGTTTGCGAAAATAAAAAAACAGATTAGATAAAACGTGGTTTAAATGTTTATAAAATTGAATAATGAGACATAAAATCATTGATAAAATATATGAAATATTTTTTTAAAGGCAAATGTCAAATTTTCAATTTGGCAAATTACAATTTTGGCTAACTTTGACAATGATCGTACCATGGCACATTAAAAAGGTAGTCCACTTAGCGCAGCTGATGTCTCCATTAACTGTCAAAGTGCGCAGTTTTTACTTGAATTCGATGTGCAACGTAGTCCATTTAGAGCAGTTGATGTCTTGATTTACTGTCAAAGTGTGTAATTTCTACTTGAATTCGATGTGCAATGCTGCCAACTTTTTGAAATATTATAAGGAAAAATTTGACAGATGGTCGGCACAAAAACAAATGTTATTGTTTTGATACATCACCTTATTATTGCATCATGCACTGTTCTACTTGCATTCGATATGCAATGTTGCCACCTATGTGAAATATTACTAGGAAAAAATTGACAGATGGTTCTAATGTGCAATATTAAATATATATTTTTTTTAATTTCTTTCTTTCATCCTTGCACCAAAATGATATATAGTAACTAAAGATAGGTGTTATAATATTTTTAAAATAAATAAAACGGCATGTGCATTAGAACTGTAATTCAATGTAAATGTACTATAAGCCTTAAGAAGATCAGCTGATTCATTGAGAGGAATATACATACATTTTCATTTCGTTCTAAAGGATTTCCGGTTTGGTAGCAATAAGCTGACGAACTTCTAAACATAGATTTATGTTCAAAATATATCCAATGTAATATTGTAATGTCAAATTTTCCATAAACCATATGACCAAAATTCTATTAAATGAAACTAATTTGTCTTTCTCAATTCATTTTTTCTATTGTTGTTTCATACAATTATTGACCATTCGGACTCTGAATGAAATAAAATTAACTTTTTAAAATATTTGACGAAACATCTGTTTCATAAATCAGCTGCTCGAATACTGCTTGAATACTGTTCGCAGTATCTTCCTTCTAATTTAGAATATAGCATTTGATCGTGGATTAGTATGTATATAATCTCAAATACAACACTGTTTTTGTATCACAAATTGATAAATCGCCCTAAAAGTACTAAAAAGTACAAATTAGGCGTACAACAAAATATGGCAAGGAGCTGAAAGAATTTTTATGGATATTAAATAACTTTAAAGTAACACATTTTTATATATTTGTATTCAACTAATGGAGAATAATTCCCATTTGAATTATGAGAATGTTATTAAATAATATGCATAAATATGTAAACAAATATCAGCTGACTGACTTTCTATCAATTTAAAACCAGTGTAAACATCTAGGATTTAGTTGCTCGATTTAAAAATCAAGTCGATTTAGAGAGCATAGTCTAAACGCGTTTTAACATCAGCATGTAAGAGGATTATTAAACTTCCCTTTAAGGACACGTTTATATCAGACCTAAAACATCTGTTTTATGTTTTTTTATGCAAACTTAACCGGTTACAATTTAAATACCTCTCTGGCACCTTTATACAATTCTCCCTAACAATTAATACCGCCAAAAACCACTTAAATCCCCCCAACATTTTCCCTGAGTGCATTTCAATTTCTGGTTTTAACTCTGCCTCAAATGCAACGCTGTTAACTGCAGCGTCACTGCTGTCGGCAGCAACGTCTGTCAGCTAATTATGCAATTTGTATGTATGCTAAAGTAAATCTAATTGTAAGAGAGGCAAAGTATAAATCCACCTCTGATTAATTTTTTTTTTCGAAATGCATTTTTTTCTTTCTTCTTTTTTAAAGTTCAAAAGCATAGAAAATATTTGAGTAATGCATTTAATTGCCATGGCAATAGAGACAGCAGCAGACAACAACAGCTCATTTGAATTGAATTCCATTATAAATCCACAAACAACAAGCGGTGCATAGGCGGAATAACTGATAGGTTTAGTCATCAAAACCCGTTAACGAATACGACGTACGTACTTGTGCATGTGCTATTATTATGTTTAGCTGTGGCTGTTGTTTCTTCTATTCGGCCGACTTATTTGGTTATTTAGTTGTGGAAAAATTTCCTTGGTTTTAGTTTTGAAATTGAAATTGTTTTCGTATATAGGTAGGTAAACCCATATTTACAATTGAGGTTAATGTACTCATGATCGAGCGATAGAAATTGAAACTATGGAAAGTGAAATTTCATATTTGGAGGTTAATTTGAATTGATTGTTTTTATAATTTGTGAAACTCGCATTCTGATTCTGGTTTGTAGACTATGCTTTCGAATCGAATCGATTTGTAAATCGAGAAATTAAATCCTAGTTGTTTATATTAATATTAAAAGTTGTCAGTCGGCTGATATTTGTTTACGTTGATATTTATACACGTTGGTACATTTTCGTACTTTCGGACAAGTGGTACCTTTTTAGGTGCTGAAACAGTGTTGTATTTTAAATAATATCTATATATAATCAGAGGCTTATTTGTTGTATGACATATCGAAATAAATATAGTTCGATTTGGCAAATAAAACTAGGTAATACATTATCACAATAAGTTATGGTCTAAACGTGCTTTATGACTAGTTAAAATATTTAATTGACAGTTCAATATTGGATTTTCCCTGCAAGAAAACTTGACATTTCAAACAAGATAATCAGAAAACTTAATCGAAATCTCATTTTTATTATTGGACTTATAAGAGGTTTATATTGTACTGGATTTCGTTAACACAGTAGTTTTAGATTGTCAATTTCATTGCATATATGTCAAATAAATCCACATTAAGTAACCTACCCGAAATAAAACGGCATATACATTAGAATTTTTACCGGGTTAACCTACTTTATGAGGATCTATTTGACATTTATGGAAAGGAATTGACAATTGAAACCCACTGGCTTAACGAAATCCAGTTAAATGTAAACGTACTATAAGTACACAATGTACATGGCGTTTTAATATTAGTATTCGAATCTCCTCCCAATCACAATATATCTAAACCTTCTTGAATTATTATATTAATTTCCAAAATTTCTTTCACTTCTTTTCCTCCAGATGCCGCTTTTGAATGCCCCAAACCAAATGGTCAGTTCCCCGATGAAAAACAGTGTGATAAATACTACGAATGTGATGATGGTGTTGCCAAGGAGAAATTGTGCCCTGATGGTTTGGTCTTCGATCCATTGAACCGTCAAATCAACAAATGTGATATGCCTTTCAATGTTGATTGTGGTGATCGTGTTGAATTGCGTAAGTAAATCAATCAACTCAACCTCTAAGAGATTTAAAATTAATTCGAATATTCGCCTCTCTTTGACATTTGCAGAAGAACCAATTTCCTCGAAATTCTGTCCCCGCAAGAACGGTTTCTTTGCCCATCCTGATGAAACTGTTTGCAACATCTTCTACAACTGTATCGATGGTGATGCTTTGGAAACCAAATGTACTGTAGGTTTGCATTTCGATGAATACAGCGGTACCTGTGTGTGGCCCGAAACTGCCAAGCGTGAAAACTGTGTTGAAAAGCCAAGTATGTAGAACTTATCTTCAATTTATCCTAAAAAATATTAATTATTCTCCTCTCCCACAGAAATGTCCGCCACCGGTTTCCAATGCCCCAAGGACAAGCCAAAGACTGATGCCCGTGGTCAAGTTGTCTCTCATCCCAGATATCCTCACCCCACCGATTGCCAGAAATTCTATGTCTGCTTGAACGGTGAAGATCCTCGTGATTTGGCCTGCCAAGCCGGTGAAGTCTACAATGACGAATCTGAAATGTGCGATGCCCCCGAAAATGTACCCGGCTGTGAAGATTGGTTCAAGGATTCCGATGAAAAGAAAGAATAAATTGATATTCTCTCTCTTATAGCAGAGTTGTAACATCTCTTTGTTTGACTATTTTTGTGTAAAAAACAAACCAACAACAATTTTCACAAATTTAGTAGTCATATTTAGGTTATTCCTATTATAGTTTGTAATGTAATATCCCAAAACGATATATAGTCCACCTTATCGATGTCATTGCATGATGTCCTCTACACAACCACCCACACACACACAAAATACAACTCATTTTTTTAGTAGTTCGTTAAACCTTAAGATGGCGTTGTAGCGCAAAAGTTTAACACAAATGAATTTAAACTTTGACTGATCAACTTGTGCTGTAAAAAATATTTTCCACCTTCTCTCCTCTACAACTATTTTGTTTTTATATATATGCTGATTTTTTATACAAAGTCAAAGCTTTTTGTGTATAAAATGTGTATCTTATCGTAAACTTTTTGTTGTAAATATTTAAGACAAACAAAAATAAACAAAATATTATTAAACTATTTAAAAAAATATATAAATGCACTTGTCTGTTTTATTATGAAATGTTTGGCCTGGCCATGGGACAATGAATAGGTAGTCCATTTAGAGCAGCTGATGTCTTGATTAACTGTCAAAGTGCGTAATTTCTACTTGAATTTGATGTGCTATGTTGCCAAACATGTGAAATATTATATGGACAAATTTGATACATCACCTTATTGCTGCATCATGAGCTATACCACCTATTCTCGCACATCGACATAGTCAGGCGGATCGAGCTGCAGCGACTACGTTGTCGAGGCCATCTTGTGAAGATGCCCCAGCTCAAAAGGCATATAAAAGCGAGCCAAGCGATGGTTCACGCAGAAGGGGAAGGTCACGAATCCGATGGAAAGATCAAGTAGAAGACAACATCTCGGAAAATGGTATTTCAAATTGGATAAGATTCGCACAAGACCGACGCGCCTGGAAATCTTTTTTTAGCTAAGTAACTAAGTTTGGCCAGGCCGATTTTTTTATACCCTCCATCATAGTATGGAGGGTATATTAGTTTTGTTTTTCCGTTTGTAACGCATCGAAATAATCATTTCCGACCCTATAAAGTATATATATATATATATTCCTAATCAGCGTAAAATTCTATGACGATCTAAGAATGTCCGTCTGTCTGTCTGTTATAATCACTCTAGCGTCTAAACGAATTGAGAAAGAACGCTAAAATTTTGCATATAGTCGTCTATTGTCTGCAGGCAGATCAAGTTCGAAGATGGGCTTTATCGGTCCACGTTTAGGCATAGCTCCCATATAAGGGTACTACCCAATTTTCGGTATTTTAGGGTTCTTAGGCGCGGTTTTCAAGCGAATTCGCTGAAATTTGGTATATTGAGTTCTTATTGGATAGCAAATCTCTCCACTAAAAATTATAAATATGGGACCATATTTTCGGATAGCCCCCATATAAGGGTACCCCCAATTTTGCGGTATTTTGCGGGGTTTGATCGCATTTTCGCTGAAATTCGGTACTTTGAGTTCTTATTGGGTAGCAAATCTCTATACTAAAAATTATAAATGTAGGTCATTTTTTTCGGGTAGCCCCCATATAAGGGTACTACCCAATTTTCGGTATTTTAATTCGCTGAAATTTGGTACATTGGGTTCTTACAGGGTACCAAATTTCTCCACTAAAAATTATAAATACAGATCCACTTTTGCTGGTAGCCCCCATATGTGGTACCTCCCAATTTCCAGTTTTTGGGGGTTTTGACCGGATTTTTTCACCGAATTGGCTGTTATTTAGTAATTTGAGTTCTTATTGGGTAGCAAATCTCTCCACAAAAAATTATAAATATAGGTCAATTTTTTCGGGTATCCCCCATATAAGGGTACCCCCAATTTTCCATATTTTGCAATTTTCTGCAATTTTTTCACACGTAATGCCACATTTCTGCTACTTTGGTGAAAAAAAACCTTCAAAATACTTAAAATAATATAATATAAAGGGGCAATACCAAACAATGGACCGATATAGTAATATGCGTGATAAAAAAAAACTCAAAAATGACGATTATGAAATATATTGGCAGGCATTTAGGCATCTCCTCAACATAGTGATACCTCCTGAAGGAAAAGATTGAGATAAACAATTAAAATATTGGGTTTAAAGTTGGCATATACCGGTCATTAATTAGGCATAGCCCTCTTATAATGATATCCCCAAATATTCACTATTTCCTACACTATGTAATATCTATATTTGTCAATATTGGTCCCCCTTTAGGCATACCCTCATATAACTTTGTAATCTAACTACAGTAGTTTGAGGATTTTATACTCTACCATGCGTTATCAGTATCAGTCCACTTTTTGGATCTTACGGATTTTAAGAAAAATCCCCATTAAAAATTGCTGAAGTTTGAATTTGGTGTACATAAATCGGTTTGTAGAATTATCGGTATATGCCCATTTTTTGGTATGTTCCCTATATATTCTTTGGATGTATCTGCCAGTATAACTATGGTAGAGGGTATCCAAAGTTCGGCCGAACTTAACGCTTTTTTACTTGTTATACTTTCCACCGTGAAAATTTAAAAAATCCTTTTCGGCGGCGGGCATGATTTCCAACCACTAAAACATCCGAATATAAAATTCCAAGGTGATTCGGGAAAGAGTTTGGCTTTGCTATGAACTAGGATTATTAACATCGCAAAAAATAACAAAATGGCGGTCATATGAAATTTCAGTTTTTAAAAATTCCCTATTTTTGACCACAAACCATGTTAGAAAATAAAAAAAATCTTGACCGATTACATTAATCCTAGTACATACTATACCTGAGTACATCCTGAATAACTTCTTAATGATAACAGGTTTTTTATACTCTGCGAAATTAAAATATCAAATTACAGACACTCAGGTTTGAAAATTAGGACATAACCTAAATTATTTATAGTGGACCGGCGAAATTGGCCAATAGTTATAAAGGGCTGAACTGAATTTTTTTTAAAGAATTTTTAAATTCACCAAGAAACTGGTAGTTAAATGCTGCTGAAACCTTCCAAAATGTGGCTAATACCATAAAAATGCGGAAATTGGAGGGAGGCCTTTATAAAGGGGCTATGTTAAAACCTGACCTTTATTACAAAAATATGGTTTGTATGCGTCAAGAACACTAAAGGCCAAATTGCAGAAAAATGGAGCTAAAACCTTCCACATATCAAACCAGTACGGAAAATTCTGCAACTGGTAGTTAAATGCAGCTCAAACCTCCCAAAATGTGGCTACAACCTTCAAGGAGGAAGGCCCTTATAATATATATAAAATATTGAGTGTTTGGTCCACCATTTAGATAAAATCGGATGAAAATATATATGGAGCTATATCTAAACCTGAACTGATTTTTTCCAATTTCGTCCTTGGGTGAAATAAATGAGTTGTCCTAAATTTCATCCAATTCGGATCATATATGCGACCTGTATTTTGCTCACAAATATACATTGATGGATATTCTCAAAAATGAAATTTGCGGCTAAGAGCTTCAAAATATCTACAAACATTTTCTGCAATTTTTTTCACACGTAATGCCACATTTCTACTACTTTGGTGAAAAAAAACCTTCAAAATACTTAAAATGGGGCTGACCCCCTATAAAGGGGCCATACTAAAAAATGGACCGATATAGGAGCAGTATCAATATGTGTGAAAATATTGTTCTCTATCGTGATTTCTAGTATTGAACATGGCTTAGTGAGTTTTGTTTTGTTAGGTACCCATATAACGGTACCACCCAAAATTCGGCATTTTGAAGCTATTGGGTACGTTTTTCAACTTAATCATTTGAAATTTGATATTTAGGCTCCTCACTGGATAGAAAGTATTCCTACTAAATGCTATTAACCGAATTAGCTCAAATATTCCTAACAATAAAATATCTATCGTTTTGATATATCCCTTCATTTTCTAATCAAATGTGATGCAAGACTTTCATCATACATATGCCACATCGATTGTATTTGAAATATATGTTTGCAGTTGACAAATTTGTAAAAACATAGCATATTTTAAGGCTTAGACATATTTTGAAAGATATAACAGTTATGAGAAATTATAAAATCTTACCACAACCAATATTAACTGATTTCCATTTTTGTACCCTCCACCATAGTGTAGAGGGTATATTAAGTTTGTTTTTGCTTTTGTAACTTATCAAAATAATCATTTCCGATCCTGTAAAGTAATTTGTAATCTTAATCTTGCTGAAATTTTGCATAGAGTTGTCTTTTGCCTGCACACAAGTCAAGTCCGAAGAGTGGATACATCGTTCCACTTTTATGCAAATTTGCAGTATTTATACCCTTCACCACACTGTGTATTATGTCTTTGTGTATATGTTTGTAACAGGCAAAAGGAAATGTGATAGACACATGGTTCCTTTTGAGAATATGCATAGAATCACTTCCTGAGTCAATTTATGCATGTCCGCCCGTCTGTCTGTCCATGGAATTTTTTTTTTTGAATGGATGAAATTTGGCACAGCTCATCTGTTTGGACCAAGGACGAAGCTATTGAAATTTGACAAAATCGGTTCAGATTTAGATATAGCTCCCACATACATTTAATGATAATGCTGGACAAAGTCCCTGTATATCTTTCGATTTGCACGAAATTTGTCACAGCCTACTGAATTAAGTCTAGAATGATGTATGTTAAGTTTCTTGAAAATTGGTTCACATTTAGATACAGCTCTCATATATATTTTCGTCCGATTTAATGTAAATTTAGTACACAAAAGTCCCTTAATATCTTTCGATTTAGTCGAAATTTGGCATAGTGTACTGAATTAGGTCCAGAATGATGTGTGTTAAGTTTCGTGAAAATCAGTTCAGTTCTATATATATTTTTCTCCGATTTTAAGTAAGTGATGCACCAAAGACCCAAAATATGGCCGATAGGAACAAAACGCACTGAAATTAGTATAACCTAACCTATTTTAATCGGTTCAGATTTATATATAGCTCCCATATATAGTATTGTCCGATTTTAAGTAAAGACCCAATGTTAAGCCGATTGCCACAAATTTTTGCACTGCTTACTGAATTATGTCCAAATTAATGTATGCAAAGTTA